TAAGAAATAGCGGAGCTCTGCAGATACACTTTTTGCCGGCTTGGAATTCTCCTTCTTCTCATCCTTCTTCTTCTTCTCATCCTTCTTCTTCTTCTCATCCTTCTCCTTCTTCTCATCCTTCTTCTTCTTCTCATCCTTCTTCTTCTTCTCATCCTTCTCCTTCTCATCCTTCTTCTTCTTCTCATCCTTCTTCTTCTTCTCATCCTTCTTCTCATCCTTCTTCTTCTTCTCATCCTTCTTCTTCTCATCCTTCTCCTTCTTCTCATCCTTCTTCTCATCCTTCTCCTTCTTCTCATCCTTCTTTTCATCCTTCTCCTTCTTCTCATCCTTCTCCTTCTTCTCATCCTTCTCCTTCTCCTTCTTCTCATCCTTCTCCTTCTTCTCATCCTTCTCCTTCTCCTTCTTCTCATCCTTCTCCTTCTTCTCATCCTTCTCCTTCTTCTCATCCTTCTCCTTCTCCTTCTTCTCATCCTTCTCCTTCTTCTCATCCTTCTCCTTCTTCTCATCCTTCTCCTTCTCATCCTTCTCCTTCTCCTTCTTCTCATCCTTCTCCTTCTCCTTCCTCATCTCCAAGGGCATTTAAATTAAAGGTACAGTGTTCTGCACTAATATAAAGGCTCTCTGAAGCCTAGAAACCCTTTTTATAAGTTAAATTCGCAGCGAATAAATTTGCATCGAATCAAATTTCTTCCTCAAATTTGGCGAATCAGCCGAATCGAATTTTTGAATAATTCGCTCATCTCTATTTGTAAGCCCAAATAGGAAGATAAGAGCTCACCATATTTCTGGCACATGACCAGTTATGTTTAACCTCCCTGGCGGTATGATTATGTCAGGAATTTTGTACCAAAAGCGGTACCATTTTTTTGCATGGAAATATGTATTTTTTTTATTGTAGGCCTGTAATTTAGGAATAACTCCCTGAAATCTGTCCGAACAAGAGTCTAGTAAACATTCCGGGTATGATAAAACTTGAAACACAAAATCATAAATTATAATTTAATAAATACTCATAAAAAATAATAATAAATTTAATTCAATAATATAATCAAACCAAAAACACTGAAATTTGAATATAGCGCCAAGTTCGCACATCACTGAGCAAAGTTGCAAAATCGTTTTCAGTGTCTGATGACGAATTTCCCCCATGAATCATTATCACTCAATTCTGCAAGTAGTTCTGATTTACTATCGCTGTTCTCTAGCTGATCTAATCCCGCTTTTGACCTAAAGGGACACTTTTTGGACGCCATGGACGTTTCTAAGTTTCCAGGCAGAAAGAACAGTAAAAATGCAGGCCAGGGCACAGGACAAAGCACTCGGGACAAAATGTATGTGAAATGCTTTGATACAGGAATGTTTTGCTATGAAATAATCGTTTTAAAAAAAGTCATTTTTTTTTCAATTTTCAAATTTGCCGCCGGTTCCGGCGCCCATACGTCCCGACATCACAGGAACCGGAACACGGAAGCCGGATGCTGGCATCGGCCGGAGGAGATGGCCGGGGACGCTGCAGGGGACGCATCGTGGGAGCGAAGGACAAGGTAAGCGCTTTAGGGAATCCCTGTGCAACGCCGCATGGTAAGCCCGAGTGTAGCTCATGGTTATTGCTTTTGGTACAGAAACTTTACACCGAGCTACACTCAGGAATACCACCAGGGAGGTTAAAGGGCTAAAACATTGGGAAATATGCATGTATTTCAGAGATGTACTTGATGTACATTTTAAATAGTATGTACAGTATACTGTAACAACAAACTTCCCTTGTTTTCTCCCTTTCAGTCTGTTAAATATACCTTTGAAAGTGTTTTTTTCTGTATCTGTTAGATTAGTGCAAAAATTGATCCTTTCAAAAACCTAGTGCTGTCCAGTGTTTGAGTGTTAAGCTGGCCATAGATGGTTCAAATCTTGGCCGGTCCGAGATTCGAACCATCTATGGCCAGCTACTGGACAGCACTAGATTTTTGACTTGGGTACAAGCAGGGGTGTCTTTACAGGCATTGGTCTTGAGCAGCATTTTTCAGGAGGGGTGTGGGGCCCCACAGAAGAAGGGACTCTCGAGGCAGGTTGCCTAGGGCAGCACAAAAAACCAAATACACCACTGGGTACAACCATCATGTCAGATTTTTACAGCTATAGCTGCTAGCAATATTCACTGCATTCTCCTAGATGAGACGGCTCCCTATGCCCCTGCTGGGAGAACACAATAGCGGAAGGGATCCCCCCATAAATACAGTCAGTGTTGATGGGAGAATCGAGTAAAAATCTCACCATCTTTGGCCTGCCCTAGTTCAATGTTATCAGTAAATGTGTCAGGACTTGGAACACCTTCCCCTTGAATTGTGGATGGGAAGAGATCCTCCATACACACAGTACAGTAAATGAGCATTGCACCCTAGGACAAGAAGTATATTGCTGGCAGAACCACCAGATCACTATAAAGGAAACAAAGCCTGAAAAAAGATATCAAATTCAGCCACCACATCTAAGGGTTGCTAAGCTGCAATATATTACATTTTTGTTCTTAGGTTTAGATACCCTTTAAGCGAATCATGCTGAATGAACTTTGTGGCACCACTGTAGTCCTCCAACACTACTCTAATGATGGTTCCTTCCAACAGTAATGTTAGACTCTGCAAAAAGGTGACACCATGGCATAAGGGAATACACATATAACTAACAATAATTAGTATCAGGGGAAAAAGCCAAACTGTTTGTTTACACCGGGGTCCCTTGCAAGTTTGTGCTCCTTTAAATAAGCTCTAATAATGCCGTTGCTGTTGCTCCTCTAGAACAGAAACAAATCAAGGTTCGAGGTGCATTTGAGGGTGACTAATACCACAAAGATATCATGGTCTGCAGCATCATGTGTTAGCTAGAACAGAATGAACAGGTCAAGTCGGTGACAATGTCTGCTGTGTAATTACCACAAATTCAATAACTGCTACTCCTTTCTTATTCCAGAGGATAAGATGTGAAAGAAACCTTTCCCCCAGGCACTGTCTCACCTACCAGGGAACAGTGACCGCAGACATCAATAGTATGACCTATGTCCATCAGGAGTATGTTGACTCACTCATTTGTTCTTATTTTAATCACACACATATATGTGAGGCCTGTCAGGGAAGAGGGAAAAAACTATGGTAGAATATAGAATATAAAACAAGACTGATATAGCAATTCAACTGTCTATCTACATACCTCACCTGAGATGAGAAAAAGTGACATGTAGACAAAAGGGCAGTGTAGACATGAACTGCACCTGCTGACAGGTTTCAACCTTGGTGACTGATGGGTGTTTGTAGTGGAACTAGAAATAGGCCCTGTGTAGACCACAGGAAGAATGATTAAAGCGGAGTTCCACCTGGAAAAAAAAAAAAAAAAAGTCAGCAGCTACAAAAACTGTAGCTACTGACTTCTAAAATACAGACACTTACCTGTCCCTTGGTCCAGCGGTGTCCTCACCACCGCTGGTTTCACTAGCTGTCTTCACTCCCTGGTGCTGGTATCTTCAGTGTTGGCACCCAGCTGTGACAGCTTGCGGCTTCATTGCCGGGTGCCCACTGCGCATGCGCAAGTAGCACTGCGCTTGGTTAATGGCCCCGTAGTCTTCTGGGACCTGTCACATATCCCAGAAGACTATGGGGAGGGAGGGTAGGATGACAACTTCTGCTTCCGATTGCCTAGGCGATCAAAGCGGAAGTGGGAGCAAGTACGTATCAAATTCGGGTACCCTTTCCCTCCCCCGCTCTCCAAAGGTGCCAATCCTTAATGGAAAGCAGGGGTTAAAGGCTTAAAGCGGAACTTCCCCTTTTGGGTGTAGGTCTGCTTTAAGCATCCTCAGCACTGTAATGCAAAAAACTTATTGTGAAGGCACGACCTGCTTCATTTAAAGCATACATTTCGGGCCCTGTCTTCAAGGTGGCATAGTGATCACAACTGATACAGAAATATCAATATATAAATGAATGCAACCACTGACAAAAAGTATCCAGTACACACCACCTCTGACGTCACAATGACATCAGAATCCTACCGCAGCTGTAGGTAGGATCAACAGAGTCATTTTTGCTTCTGTCCAGGGGCAGGACTCTGCCACACCTTGGTTTTCTTTTCACCCATAGGGCATTTGCCGATGATTTTGCCCTTTTTTTTTCCTTCCTTTTTTGTGTTTGTTCACCATTCGATCACATACTGTAATTAGGGGTGTTCTTGGTGGGATTCTGGCATCATTGTAACAATAGAGGGGGTGTGCACTGAATATTTTTTGTCAGTTGCTACATTCGTATATATGTTAATATTTCTGTATCAGTTGTGGTCACTATGTCACCATGAGGAAGAAACCCTGCGCAGCTCCAAAAAGTGTAATGTGACCACACCAATTAAAGTGCATGTTATGTTATTTTCCTCGAAGTGTTGGTGATACGTTAATTTTCCCTAGTGTGGACAAAGGATACATCCCTGGCGTGTCCCTGTTACATCGATTATGAAGAAGTAATACACGAAAAATAAATCACCTCTTACATTGGGTGTCCTCCATGTACAGGATGCTGCTCCATTATATAAAACTAGTAGAATAGTTTGTTACATTTAAAATGGGGTGCCTCAAGATTGTATATAATTTTAAAGGGTGCTTTGAGACTTTCCATAACTTTAGAGGGTGCCTTGACATTGTTCATATTTTAAAGGGTGCCTTGACTAAAAAAAGTCTGAGAAACACTGCTCCAAAATACTAATCACATTATTGCTTGTGTCCTTCCTATTTTTTTTGTCCTCATCCCTATTTTTAGCAAAAGTGCTCTCTAATCCCCTAACACTACCTCTTCTGCCCTTGTAAAAACATTCTAGGAAAGTCCTCCTTAGAATTTTAAGAAAGCTCCCTTCATGGTTGAACGCCATACAAACAACTAAATACGCAAATTAAATTATATATTGGGAGCTGTTTTACCTGCCAGAGTATTTGTATTCTCTCCATCCAGTTCTGAGCATTGCCAGCCCTATCAGACAACAGAGCTAACCTGGTGACTTGACCTAATTTTTACTACAGTTAAAACTCAGCTTGGAGAATTACAAAAAAACTACCCTTGCAGTAAAAACCCACAAGGGTAAGTGCTTGGTACCTCTACTGGATGAAGAATAATTCATTCTTATGTAGCACCCTCCTGGTCAGGTGCTTGGTTATGTAAATTTAGTTTGGCTCCCTGTAATCAGTGCAACTGCATGTTCTGTGTTAGGCAAATTTAGTTCTAGCTCACTGTAATCAGTGCAGCTGCATATTATTATTATTATTATTATTATTATTATACAGTATTTATATAGCGCCAAAGGGTTTGCTCAGCGCTGTACAGTAGCAAGGGGGACAGAACATGAGACGAGACAGTAACAATACACTACACGACGGGTTTGAGGGCCCTGCTCTTTCGAGCTTACAATCTAGGAGGGAGGGGAAGTGGTACAGGAGGAGATGGCTGTGGGGGATGGAGTGGTGGGAGGAGTGGAGGAGGTTAGTTGTTAGGTGAGGTCGGGTGTTAGGTGAGGTTGGGGTAGGCTTCCCTGAAGAGTAGGGTTTTCAGGGTGCGCCTGAAGGTGAGGAGGGTAGGTGACAGTGTGATGGATTGGGGATACGGAGTTCCAGATGATGGGGGAAGTCCTGGAGAAGTCCTGCAATCGGGTGTTGGAGGAGGAGACCAGGGAGCTAGAGAGTAGGAGGTCCTGTGAGGAGCGGAGGGCACGGGTAGGGTGGTATTTGGGTATCAGGTCAGTTATGTAGTTTGTAGCATTGTGAATGGCTTTGTATGTCAGAGTTAGCAGTTTGAATTTGATGCATTGGGCAATCGGGAGCCAATGAAGGGATTGGCAGAGGGGGGAGGCAGATGTGGAGCGGTTGGTGAGGTGGATGAGTCTAGCCGCTGAGTGTAGGACTGACTGGAGAGGGGATAGCGTTTGTTTGGGTAGGCCAGTGAGAAGGGAATTGCAGTAGTCCAGACGTGAGATGATGAGGGAGTGTACGAGTTGTTTGGTGGTGTCTGGGGTGAGGAATGTGCGTATCTTGGAGATGTTGCGGAGGTGGAGCCTGCAAGATCTAGATAGCAGTTGGATGTGGGGTAGGAATGAGAGGTGGGAGTCCAGGGTGACACCCAGGACTTTGGTGTGTGGGGTGGGAGAGATGGTGGCGTTGTTAGTAGTGATGGGGAGGATGGGGGGGAGCATGGGGGGGGGGACCAGGAGCTCGGTTTTGGATAGGTTAAGTTTTAGTAAATGGAGCGTATGATTAGTTAAATCTGTTCTGTGACAGGCAGCAGGTTTGATTGCTCTTTCCCTGCATATCAGAATCCTCTGGGTGGTTCTGGAACATACTGTAGGTGTGGAGTAAGACAAATGTGCAGCATGAATATTTATATTGTTTCAGCCAATTTTTGTGGGAAGATTGCACAGACGGTTGCTGGGAAAGGGTATAAATAATCTGAGACCTGGAACATAAGTGTCTTGTCCGTGAGGAGGATATGACAGCCTAGGGGGGTTTATGCAATCCTTCCATGTGCTTGTGGTTCATCGTGGTCCCAGCTGTGTGAGTTTGTTGGAAGCTACTGGAGCTGACAGAGGGACTGTCGTCTGTGGATCTAGG